ACACAGCAGGTCAGGCAGCATCAGAGGAGCAGGAAAGCTGACGTTTCGGGTAGGGACCTTTCTGAAGAAGGATCCCGACCCGAAACATCGGCTTTCCTGCTCCTCTAATGCTGCCTGACCTGCTGTGTTCCTCCAGCTCCACACTGTGTTATCTCTGACTCCATTGGCAGTTCTTACTATCTCTGAGTGAGTTTGAAACATGTGAACTGGATTTCTATTGCATAAAGGGACATTGAAATCCATTTTTAATGCTGCCAAGTTGGTATAAGCAAAGAAAGGAAAGGAATAAATGGTGTCGTCATTCTGGATGGGGTTCCAGATGTTGCAAATAACATGAGCACATTTACTCTGTCATAAACCTATATAAAGCCCTGTTGAATAGGAGTAGCATAACAAACAAGGTGTACAGGAAATTTAGACTACAACTATAGAAGGTTTTGAAGCAGCCATGGATTTACATATATTATTCTTTGTGTAAAGAAGTGATTCTCTTAAGTATTAGATTAGTTTTTACATCACCTACTTCACTTCTAATAAAATTCATAGTTGACTTTCAAATAAGATAACTATCACCAAGTACAACATTCTTTCTCATGTCTGACACACAGTTTGAAGACATACAAATGTTTGTTTTATCTGAGCCACTGCTCTAAACAAGACCTATTCCAGGAAAGCCCCTTTATTCCTGCTCTTTTCAAAAAAAATTAAGATAAATGATACATACAAATATGAACCACAAAATGAAGAAAAAGAAAGCAAAGCTTTGCATTTACAGGCTAAGCATAATTAAAGTATTTTTCTTTATTCAGTTCAGAGTCAACCACATTGCTGTAGGTCTGGAGTCACATGTTGACAAGACCAGGTAAGGATGGCAATTTCCTTTCCTAAAAGGACATCAGTGAACCAGATGGGATTTTCTGACAATTGGCAATGAATTCATAGTCAGCATTAGATTCTTAATTCAGGTTTTTAAAAAAACAATGCATGACTATTCTTCTACAGTATTTTTTAAAAACTGAATTCAAATTCTACCATCTGCCTTGGTGGGATTCGAGCTCAGGTCCACAGAACATTATCTGTGTCTTTGGATTAACAGTCCAGCGATAATACCACTGGGCCATCACCTGGACAAAAGAGCAATCCTTTCATCCTAGCTTCACAATAGAATCAACATGAGTGGGGTAGCTATCTCTTTCCACTTACAGTAATGATTCTGCATGCTTGGATATTCTTGATGGAAGTGAATGTTCTTTAGCTAGGTTTGTGATTGATACAAAAATAGATGGGAAGAAAGTAACATGGATGGTACAAAACCAAGTACTGTCAGGAGTCTACTGAGAGATACAAACACATACATTAAGTGAGGAGGCAAAATTTGGAATATAGAATATAATGTGGGAAAACATGAAGTTATGTACTTTGGCACAAAGAACAGAGGAAATGAGTATTATTCATGTGGGGAGCTTGAAAGCTGCAACCCAGAGGGATTTATGGATCCTTGAAACCTAAGATTCTTAGAGGTATATGCAGAAAGAATACTTCCACTTGTAGGAGAATTTAAGACCAGAGGATATAATCTCAAAAGTAGGCGGTGACCAATTTAAGAGGCAAGTGAGGATGAATTTTCTTTTCAGGGGTTCCTGAATCTGTGGAATTTCTTACTGCAGAAGGCTGTCAAGCCTAGGTGAGTAAACATATTAAAAGGCTGAAATAGATTTTTAAATCATTAAAGGAATCAAGGGCTACGGGGATATGAAGTAAAGTGGACTCCAGGATTACAGATCAATCATGATCTAATCGAACGGTGAAGCAGACTTGATGAAGCAAAGGCCTATTACTGCTTCTATACCTTATGGTCTTAACTCAATTCTTCATGAGCAAATTTGGCAAAACATCACAAGATTCCAGGGAATCCAAGACATTGTTATTATTAGGCTTAAAAGTTGTCTGCAGCTAGTTTTATAAATAGCTCTTTGAGTGGCAAAATGCATCTTTTACAATATTGTGGTCTAGCATCAAAAATGCAAACAAATTGTAAATTACTTAGTTGCACGTCTCTGCAGGATTTAAACACATTAAACACATGGAACTGAATGTCATTTTTAAATTTAGTCATGGATGTGGATATTACTAGCTAGGCCAAGCAGATTTAGTGCCAGCCACATTGCTAGGAGTCTGGAGTCACATACACACTAGACAAGGTGTAAAATGGCACATCTCCTTCCCTAAAGGAAGTGAGTGAAGCAAATATCGCTTTAACCTCAAAATTGCTGTAAAAGCCTAAGTATGTTGAATGAATTGCCTGGCACATAAATAGGTAGTTTTCAGGTCAAGGCAAGCATGATGTCAAGGTTCCCACAAGTGGGATCTTCCCAAGTTGAAAGTGCTGGGGTCATATTCAAAGGCCAGCTGGGCATAACTTCGGGTGCTGAAAACTAGGAATTTCCCATCAGCCTATAAAGCCCAGAAATATCTGCCAAGGCTGCAATATTACAGGGCAGCATCAGTAAACCAGGAAGCCACTGCTTCCTGGTTTACTGATGCTGCCCTGTAAATGCATCAGAACAGGGTTATTGAGAAAACAGACATTATATTCCTGGGTGACCATATCAGTTGCTCATCTCATCAGATCTGTCCAGTCCGGACAGAGATCGCAACGAGAGTCAAAAGTTAATGATCTCCTGCACCCCACAACCATTAGTGGCACCATGTCCTCTCTATCTCACACTAACAGGCCTTCACTAAGCCTAACTCTGGAACTGTAAATGCATTGCAGAGTTATAACTGGGAAGCCTTAGCATCATGAGCATGATGCAAACTCAAGGTCTCAGAGCCACTTCATCCCCTCAAACTACTAACCCTTCTTGTATCACGTGCTTCATACTCATCTGCTAGGGATGCCTTATCATCTTGCATGGCTTATACATGTTCACACACTGCTCCTGCACCCATTCCTGTGGAGCTCAATCTTTCAATTGATCTTCTTGCAAGAAAGCGTGGCCCATAACTGGTCTAAGACCAGGAGTGGGTATGCTGGATATCAAACTCCTCACTGTCTTTGATCAAAAGGCATTAGAGCTGGCCAGTGAAGACCAGTACTATTCCCATGATAACGGGGAGACACCAATGGGCCAGCAGGCCAGTAAACAACATTGTACTCTGCTCTTCTGGGAGCAATGGCAGAATTTGTCATGTTTCTATAGGCTCTGGAAGGAAAGATCTGTTCCCATGTATGGGGCTCTCAAAGACATACTACAACATTTAAGCTGCTTAGGAACGGAGTTATTTTTCAATAATTAATCATTTTGACTTGACTAAGCAAAAAACAGTTGACTCATATGGTTTAGTTAAGTTGGTTAAACAGTTTTCATTTGATTGGCTCTTACAATACTCTGGTCATAACTGTAATTGACTTGGGCCTTACAATTGAAGCATCAAAAAATCTTTCAGCTGTGAAGAGATCAACAGATAACGTGTCAGATTACTGTCACTGCAGACTGCAGTCGAGGGAACAGCTCCACAATTCAAAGCCACTGTCAGACAGGAATGGCAAGGATAAGGCGAAGGCTCATTGCATACTGAAGCACTTAAATGATAATGAGGGTTAAAGGCAGATATGGAACACCCAGAGGATGAGAGACAACCGGTTTCCACTATAGGAGTTTCTCAGGCTAGCTTCCTACACCCAACTCTCTTCAGCTGCTAAATCAATGACCCCTTCTCCATCATTATGGTCAGAAGTGGGGAAGTTTGCCAACAACTGCATAATGTTCACAATCTATCAGATATCGAAACAGTTCATGTCCAAATGCAGAAAGGCCTGACCAATATCTAGGCTTCAGCTCACAGTGGCAAAATAATATTTGTACCACAAGTGTCAGGCAATGATATTTCCAACAAGGGAGAACCTAACAGTTAATGACACTACTATTGTTGAATGTCCCCCATCAAAGTCTGGGGGTTACCATTGACAAAAATCTGAACTTGGCTATGGCTATAAAAGCAGGTCTGATACTATTATTTCTGAACTGTATCATAAACAATAGTACTTTATTTTGAAAGTAAAAATATTTAAACTTCTTGTTAGTGATGTATGTAGTGTGGGGAAATACAATTCTTAATTACGTGAATGCCATCATTAATTTACTAAACTACTGTAGAGTGCAGAATAAATACAAAGAAAAGCACCCTTGTCTCTGCCTCTGGAAAGTACCTAACAGAGGGGTTAGAAAACCTAGTGGGATAAGAACTACAGCAATCGCACTCCCTTTCACAGTCATCTTGTGCACAGACCAGAGTTCTGGGCTGACATCCTGTGTGATGTGGTCAGCGTAGGTGGTCACAATGAGCGTGGGTGGTCCTCCATATTATGTGGATTTTTCAAGCCCATAAAAATTTTACTGCCTGTAGGGCTATTGACTAGTACAAAAATGGTTATAGTCTGTCAAAGCAGGTTAATGAAGATTAAAAGTACTTCCACTACTAGATACAAGTCTAAGGAAGGAGTATGAAGATATATAAATAACAATCCAGTGCTTCAAGTGGTGCAGCTAGGACTGAACAATTGCTTGCCATTCAATTAGCCAACAATACTTGCAGGCAGGACCTTAAAGTATCAGATATCCTGACTGCTAGCAACTAATTATCTGAAAAACTTTAAAATTCGGTCAAGGCTTCAATGACTTTCCAAGGGAGTGTTGCCTCATCTTATCCACTGGTGGTCAGGGCTACCATCATTCCATAATATTCAAACCATTATTTTTAAACAAAGCACTTAATCTTTTTTGAATAGATGTTACTGTCAGCAAGTAAACTCCAAATTGAGCATCACACTTCATATTTTCGTGCTATCAACTTGAGAAAATTAACATTTAGAAATATATTAATTTACTTTCAGTATGATCCAGCAGTTGTCCAATGGGGTGTCACAACCAGACACACATTCTCCTCACCTCCCTTTCCAGCATTCCACAGGGACTGGTCCACTCCTCCTCCATTCCACACAGCACTTTCTCATGCAATTGCAAAAGATGTAACACCTGCCTGTTTACCTCCTCCATCCTCACCAAGGCCCCAGACAGACTTTCCAGGTGAAGCAACCATTTACCTGCACTTCACCCAATCTACTGTGTTCGTTGTTCACAGTATGGTATCCTCTACACTGGGGAGGCAAACCACAGACTGGGCAACCGCTCTGCAGAAATGATCTACTTTCCTTTCAGCATAGACTACTCATACTCTGTTATACTCAGGTCTCATGATCATTTATTCAGTCTCTCTCTCTCTTTCTCTGTCTCTCTCAATAATCCCACTGATTACCTATACTTTCATCTCTCTCTCTGGGCTCCATCTCCACCTATTCACTCACCTCTCCCAACCTTATCTCCAGCATAAATACCAGCTTTTCCTTGCTGCCATCAGTTCCGATGAAGAGTCACTGAACTCTACACGTTAACTCTGCTTTCTTCCCACAAATGCTGCCAGAGCTGCTGAGTTTTGCCAACAATTTCTGTTTTTGTGACATTAGCAGTACTGGCTGTTCTAAAATGCCAAATACAACAAAGTGTACTGGTGATAACATTGTGAGTAAATGAGTAATTGCACCTTTGGGCAAAACCAAAGTATGGAGTATATTGGAGTATGTTAAAGTATATTAATACATGCAAGTATAAACATATAAGTACACAGGTATGCAAAGTAATGTCAACGCTGAATAGGTACAGCACAAATTCCCTGTTCATTTAGATGACAGATAAATCTCAGGAGCAACCAACAACCAAACTAACTTCGGAAGGAGACGGGAGGTTGAATTTAAAGTATGTACCACTTATAGTTAAAAGCTAATGTTTGCATCTGTACAAATAAAGGAAGTTGCAACATTAAATGTATATTTTTAAAAATAGGGAACTTTCACAGTTAAAAGAATTATATAATTTCAAGCACCACAGGGAAATTGATAATTAAACATGCAGCAGAACAAGTCGTTATCCAACATGTTAATAGATAATTGAAAGCACAATGTTGTTTTCTTTAATTCGTTAAAGACTTTAACAAAAGATATTAGTAGTTTGACAAGAGACAATACTTACTCTCCAGATCTTGTTTGACAGCACTCTCTTTTCGAGGAAGTGTAGCTGTGAGAGATTAGGTTGCAGGCATTGAAACACAAATATATGTTAGATTTTAGACATGTAGCACAAACCACACAGATGAATGATATTTGTTAGATACTAAGCACACAGGTTAGCACATGCAAGCAAGACACTACAATATTGATGTTATGTCAATTAGCTTGAAATGTTACTATACAAATATAATGTTTCTTTCCTGGTTCCCTATAGCAGGCATTATCCCGGCAACGTCAGAATGACATACATATTACTTATGCTACAATTAAAGCTATCAGAGTTTATCTGAAATTCAAAGCACAAAGTCAAAGAAAGAGATAGTTCACGACTCTTCTTTCCATTTATCTAATACATCCATATCCTTTTGAATTTTACACCACCGGTTGGAATATACATTAATTGCACTTAACTCAACATCATGTTGAACAAAATTTTGCTTTCCACATCACTTATGAAATTATAACAAACATCATTTCAATCCTGATATATGTAGAACTTCACAACCATCAGCGTTGACTGTGCTGTCTTCTCATTGGTAACCTGTGCCACTTTGATTCCTATCTATGCACAAACAGTCCTTGTTGCCAATTCCCAACTCCTCTTTTCCAGCAAGATACAAACCTTCTGAGGAGTAGCTTTACTCCACCTCTATTTTTACTAAAATACACTGTACCCCTCATTCATCTTCCTTTAGCCAAGTTTTGATAAATCCCAGGATGTTTATTTTTCTTATTTACACTCAGTTTTTATGCTTCTTGCACTTCTTGCATCCATGGATATACATCATTGATCATTTCTGTCTTGCTTTCTATAATTATGTGAATCCTTCCTCATTATTCATATCGTTATCTTTGTTTTTAAATATGTTTCTTCATTATACATAGTGTACAGCTACAATAAGTCCAGTTATCGATACTTGAGAAACTCAATTAGTATATGCTTCATGCAAGTGCATTCCTCCTGGATAGTTCAAACATCCAGGATAGTTCACATCTTGCATATCATACAGCTGTTTTAGTTTAGCATTTCCAACCATCTCAATTCAAGTGTGTAGGAAAGTGCATTGGGATTTAAATATTTATAACGATATTTTATGGACCAATGCGTCTTTAGTCATAATTACTCCCTCACTTCCAACTCTCTAGAAAATGCTTTGTTCTGCCAAAATATCATGGCACTCAACCACAGTTTTAGAAAAAAAATTTCCTAAATGGGAATGGACTGAGAACGTGCAAATTGTTACCTCTCATTAACAGCCAATTAACTCGGAGTACTTCCACTGAAATTCCAAATAATGTAAACACCCTTGAGCCTCAATTATAAGTATTAATTTCACTCAATTAAAACTGGCAAACAAGTCGGTTCCAAACTTCTTGTAAATTAGTGCAATATGTCTTGTTCTGCCAAAAACCTGCTCTACTGTTTAGAAAAATCTTAGTAGCATTTATTTATACATCATGTGAAAAGTTGCCAGATTACTGAAATCAGCTAAATGAAGTACCGAAACTTTAGAAATTTCTCATGAAAAATATCTGATGCAGAAGTTGGCACAAAATTACTTAAATCACGATCAAGGATAACACTCCGTCATTGAATTCAGTTAAAGGACAAAAATATAATTCTGTTAATGAAGCAACAGTAATCATTTAAGCAGTGTCAAAGTTATAAGACAATTACATGCAGATTCATAACCTGCATAGAATACAGAACATTTGTGATTGCTTCAAATTCAATTAAGCTATTTCCAAACAGTTTCAAAAACTGGAAGTGATTAAAAAGAAAATTCAAATTCAAAAATGCATTAACTCAACTGGCATGCAAGTCTACTACATCACATTTTCAAGTTATATATTTATTCAATTGTTCAGAAGTATTGGTATTAATGTTACATAGAAAATATGTCAGCACAGCAAATAACCCATATTAGGAAATAAGCAAATTATGGAAGGAAATTATGACTTGCATGTAACAAAGTTCCACAAAGCACTTCAAATTCAATCTGATAATATATTTTAATCACGATCACTTTATTGAATGTAATTAATCTCTAAAATCGAGAATATTAGGATGATATCTCCATTTGACAAATTTAATATCATAGCTCATTATTTGACCATACTGCTGAATTTGAAAAACAATTACTACTATGTTCACGTTGGATCAAGAAGTCATTTTTCAGCCAATCTTACACGAATCTGAAACGCTGATCAAAAACTGAAGCAAGTTAGCCCTAATATGAAGAAAAATGAAATCACACTATGTAAAGTTGAGAGGAAGAAAACGCCAATTTTACCAGGATGATACCTTTCTGCAAATATCTTTGCATTAATAATGACCAAGAGTGGGGTATGGTTTAAAAAGGATCTAAATGAGTGGGATGGACCCCAGCTAAAGAAAGACTTACCAAACTTTTTTCCTTCTTTTGATGTGCCAGTCATTTTGATCTTTGCAACCTCAAAGAATTCCTTAATTTCTCTTTCATATAATCTGGATATATAATCTACATAGTTCTGCACAGAAAAAAAGGCTACATATTCATATTTTTCATATAATCAGTAATACTGAGCATTGTGTATTATATATACGCACAATCTTGTGACTAATGAGTTCAGGGTAATGATAAACAGTTGCTAAATTTTAAGAGGCAAAAATCAAATCTGTGAAATCCAGTTTCAGCTTGGTTGTTCTACAATATATGCTATCTTTCTGCACCAATAAACCCCACAATGTCAAGAGAAATAAAGGGCAAGTTATCAAGTTTTAAAACTCCAAGTCGAAATAATGGAATTACTTAACTGAGGATCTTTGGAATTCTCTACACTGGGGGACTTTGGAAAATCAATGAGCAGATTCCAGTCAGAAATTGGTGTTTCTGGAAACTAATGACATTAAAGGGACATGGAGATATCATGGGAAAGTGGTATTGAAGAGACAACCAGTAATGATCCAGAAAGGTGGGCAGAATTGAGAAGAAAAGGCCATTCGGCTGATGTTTTTAAGTTCCTAATTCTGTTGCGAACCTGCATGGCTATTTTGGCTGTGGATGTAAATTATTCACCACTACAATAGCACAGTTCTTGTCATTTAATCA